TGTTTTAAATTTTGCTGGTCAGAACTGCACAAAACGTATGATCGCTAAAGCTACCATGGTGCGCGCCGCTATTTCTGTGGTTCTTCGGTATTCACAGCTGTAGCAAAACTTCATATGCAAGCTGTAGCGCACAAAATTTCATTAAAAACTGGGAAAAAGAAAGTTTGGAATGAAAGACGCATGAGAATACAGGACTCTCCATAAGTAACAAGTCTGAACGCCTGGAACTACATTTACATATATCAGAGCCTTGACACTGTTCGCCAAATTTCGCTCGACTTCATGCATTCCGCAAGTACGGAATTTTGATTTCAAACGTGAACTGCAGTCCGAGAATCTCATTTTTGGCCTGGGCAAGATTTCGTCCTAACTTAACTGAAAACAATCCGACCGGTTACCGATGGATTAGACTATGAACAAGTATGCCGAGAATACGCTGAAACTATCGCGACCCTAATTGTTATTTTATTTGGACTAGTGAGTACCCGGTGGGTAGGTGTGTGTGTGTGTGTATAAGTGACACGCCGCGTCCTATATACACGTTTATTATACATAGTAGAGTGGAAATATAAAATACAAAGGTAGGTGAGGCTCTGGGGAGCCGAAGCTCCCCAGAATAGGAATATTGGTGATTAGCAGTAAGTCGCAGTGAAGGTCGGTAATAACGGTCGGTAGAAGGGGTCGGTGGAGGAGGTCGGTAATGATAATCGGTAATGGTGAGAAGTGCTTTTATACCTCAGGGGACAAAGACCAAAAGTTCAGTGAGGGTGGGGCGATTAAAGTTTGAACCAGGGACAGGGGTACTGCGTCATAGTAACGCAGTTGGTCTTTAATCTATTTTTAAAAAAACCATTAATCACTATTTGATGTATATCGTATTCCCTTTACAGCTCCTCTTCTTTATCACAATAATCTTGCCGGACTTCAAGCTAGCGTAGGTCTATTATCTCATCAAGCATATCGTATTGATCTGCTCGAGCATGCTATGGCTCAAGCTGGACAAGAATTTGGAAGAAATTTCTTAGACGACGCTGCACAAGGACTTGCTGAAGGACCTCGTTTAGCCACGGATTTGGATAAACAAGCACCCCATCTTTTTCAGACTTCGGCGTCTATAATCCGAGCGGCCGTTAATGCAACACAAAGTGTTGTTAGAGTCATAACTATAATTCTCTTTACGCTAGCGATTCTTCTATTGCTAATGTATGTAGCGTGGAAGTAAATCTGCTATCGTTATCGGTTATATCGACAGCGGAAGAAAAGTCAACTGATTGCGAAATACATCAACAACGATCGCCGTGTTCACTTCAGCGATCAACCACTAATCAATTACAGCAACGTAACAGAAATGAAGGATGGCGAAGGAGTAAATTCTTCAGGGTCATCTCCCATAGATAGAACAACAGTGGACATCACTGACTTCCTACCACAGATACATTCCCTAATGTCCATAAAGAAACATACATACCGACTTCCGTATGTACGCATACCTATAGATGGTCAATATCGACTTTGTCTTTTTGACACTGGCCCCAGAGCCTCACCTACCTTTGTATTTTACCTTTCCACTCTACTATGTATAATAAACGTGTGTATAGGACGCGACGTGTCACTTATATACACACACACACCCACGGGGTACTCACTAGTCCAAACAAAATAACAATTAGGGTCGCGAAACAAAGGAACTCACAAACTACAACTGGATCATTCGTTTATACGCATATTAGGGATTACTTAAATCTGTAAATATTAATGATAAGCACGAACCAGCGATGGCGCTCACACATTTTCGCGATAAATTGTT